CAAATGGGACTTCCAGTCCTAGTTCTTTGAGGTATCTCCATATTGATTTCCACAGTGGTTGCACCAGTCTACACTCCCACCAGCAGTGGAGCAGGGTTCCTTTTTCCCCACAGCCCCGAGGGGCCTTTTTTGACCAAACCAACATGTAGTCCCATGTCTGAGAAGAGTGGCTCAGCACTTTAGCCAAAGTCAGAAGGAGGAAGAGAGTTAACATATGAAAAGCTGGGACAGGGCCACCCAGGGCAGGGAATAGCAGTAGTGAAAAGCAAGTCAGCAGCACTGACTGGGATCTGTGTATGATAATCTTTGCAAGCCAAGAAAAAGATTCTGAATTTTATCTCAAGTACCAAAGGAAATCATGAAAAGGTTTTGAACAAGGGAGCAAAATGATCAAGAGTCCTTTAAGAAAATACCTAGAAAGCTGTGTGGTGGACAGCTCAAAAAAAGGCAGCAAGAAGGAAAGCAGAGTCAGGAACAGTCAGAAGAGAGCCGTGGTGATTCGGATCAGAGATGGATAGCCCGGAGCAGCAAAACGGCTGTGAGACCAAGTGACACAAACAGGTTGGAGACATATTTTAAAGGTAGAAGTGACACTTGGTTGTGGCTTATGTGCAGAGACGAGGTAGAAGTAAGATACAGAGTGTCTCTGAGAGGATGAAAGGAACTGGAGAAAAAGGAGATGTGAAGGAAAATTGGAGTTGAGTTGAACATGTCAGATTTAAGAAACTGTATGAGACATTCAGGTGCAGAAGATACCAATCAGGCAGTGGCTCCAGGATATTATGGATCTCAGAGAACTTATAAGACAATTTGTAAATTTTTGCAAGACAAAATATGATCCAACTTTATCACAAATAGCTCTAAGTTTGATGTATAATGTAGGCAAAATCTCATTATAACAAAAAAATGTTGTTATATTTTTTGTCACAAAGCTATTTCCAAAAATCTGAATAACATTTCACTGGTCTAGGTTCAAGAAATAATTCCGTTCAATACATTCTGACAAATGCTAAGTGCGCTAAGTGGAGGAAGAGGCTAAACTAGGGCTAGATGGATTCCATGCTTTAGACATCCACCATATAAAACAGTATCCTTGCTCTTCTCTATGCTGTACTCTGCCTCTACTCAGTCTCACACCTTCTAGCTCAGTTCTGCTTGCATAAACAACAAAATACATCTACTTTTAAACACAATGGGTCTAAGCCACAATTCGTGATCTTGCACTGCATACTGAAGACCTCTCAGAAAATCCCTCCCTTGATTTTATGAGCTCTGTAAGTCCTAAGCTAAGGCATCACTAGATTCCATTTTTCCTCAACTGTGATATTATCTAGCCCTTAAATCTCTCCATTGTTCTGTATCTATCCCCAAGATCCCAATCCAAGCTAGGGTTCTGAACAGGATCCCATTTATGAGCCCCTGCCTAATTTCAGCTACTCCTACTTGGTTCCACTCTCTGAGGAGAGATTGATTTTTAAAAACTGTACATCTGATCCTATCATTCTGTGCTTAAATCCTTTGCTTCAAGACTGCTCATTGCTCTTACAACATTTACTAAAATTCTTCATGTGGCATAAAAGGCCTTACCTATGTAGTCTAACTCTGCCTAATTCATCAGTTTTAGGGAGGAAATAAAGGTCTTATATTTCTATCTGCACTGACCACTGCCAGGTTCACAGATTCATTTCTGGGGAAACAGTAGGCCACATGCTTAGTCATCACCAACTGAGGGTGGAATGTCCAGCAGCCTATAATGTGAATTATATCACCTGGATAACCCACTTAACTTCCTCAGGCTTTCTTCCTCTCTACCTCAGATCCTACCAAAGTCCCTTGGAACTCTAGACTTTTAAGAATGGAATTAATATGAAAAAATGGGAACAAAGTCTTTGTAAATAGGGAGGGATGGAGGGGTTGAAGGGAGGGCAGGGGAAGGGGGAAAAAATAAGAACCAAGAGAGTATGTAAAGGTGCATATCTCCAATGATGAATGTCATTATATTGTACACCTAAAATGTACCAATAAAAAACTAAAATTAGAATGATTAAAAAAAAAAAAGAAATAACAGTAGCTTTGGTAGAGCTGCTCTTCAATGGACTGCACCCTTGTGTCCAACAGTAAAATCTTCTGATGTTAGCAGGAAATGCAGGAATAGAAACATTAATAATGTAAGAAATAAAAAATAAGAACTAATTCAATCTCTATAAATGTAGTATGAATTCTACTTCCAAAAGATTGTAGTGATAAAACAAAAGTGAGGCAAATTGCAATGAGACAAATTCTAAATTTCAGGTTTCAGTGTTTATATTTAAAATAATTCCTCAAATCTCAAAATTTGAAATAAGGTAAACTTGCAAGAGACCACTCTGTTGATTATGCCTAAAGCAGGCTATAAGCAGTCCAGATTGTAAAGAGTTAACCCCACAATGGACTTGTTTTAAAAAGTGAGTCTGACCAAAGCCTATGAGACTCATAGCTGCATTGCAGTGATGTGTGGATTAGAAATTATCCCCGTCCCCTGCCAACAGCCACAGCAGAGGCCAGAGAATGGTCCATGAAACTGTGGGGCTCTGATATGAGATAACACAACAGCCAAGGTCAGACTGACTCTTATTCAAATTCTGTTCCCAGGATTGAAACCTTCTTAACTGAAAAGACAAGCTAGCCATTAACCACAACCTATATCTGTTCCTAACACAAGAATGTTTTGTCTCTTCTTTTACAAACCTTGCTTGCATCAGCAACATATCTCTAGCAAACACACAAGCCTCCTCACCCCAACTTAACAATGATTGTGTCACCAATAAATACTGGCATTCTGGCTG